ACGGTCGGCTCTTTTGTAATAGCAATCGAAGCGGCTAACTAGCAGCGGGAAGGGCCCCACCCTTAACAGGATCTCCTGTTCCACCAGGAGTACTAATCGACCAGCTGGCACGACCACTGACTGGTCACAGAGCCAAAGGCTGGATCAGCTTTGTTCGGCTCCGTTAAATAGTAATCCGGAAGCAATGACCTGGCATCACTTCAGTTTACTCGGAAGCAATCGGCGCCATTTTTAAAAAACAAAAGCATCCAGTCACACTGATCTTGATGCGATTAAATGGTTTTAAGGGCAGAAGAGGGATTTGGAGTTTTATTGACCCCAGATCTCTCCATAAAGAGTACCTGTCATGACCTATTGCTGTCACAATGGATGTTTACATTCTTGTGACAGCAACAAAAGTGATTCTTCTTTTTTTTTTTTTACACTGGCTAAAGCAACAGTGTAAAAAAAAAATTAAAGTGCCCCCCGTCCCCACCATGCAAAGGTGAATACATGCTCAGTCCTGCACACACGCAAACAGCCATCATCAGACATATGTGAGGTATCACTGCGTCATGGGCAGTAATTCTAACCCCAGAAACCACTAAAACAGCTCATCCACTCCCTCATCATATCACGACTCGACTACTGCAACTCCCTCCTCACTGGCCTGCCTCGCCGCTGGCTATCCCCGCTTCAGCCGATCCTGAATACGGCTGCCAGACTCATTCACCTTTCCAACCGCTCCGTTTCCGCCACCCCCCTCTGCCAATCCCTCCACTGGCTTCCGATTGTGCAACGGATCAAATTCAAAATCCTAACACTGACGTACAATGCTGTCCACCATACTGCCCCGAACTACTACATCACTGACCTAATATCCAAGTACCACCCAGCACGCACACACCGCTCCTCACAAGACCTCCTTCTCTCTAGTTCCCTGGTCTCCTCCTCCCATGCCCGCCTCCAGGACGTCTCCAGGGTGTCACCCATCCTCTGGAACTCCCTGCCCCAACCCATCAGATTATCACCTACTCTCCTCTCCTTTAGGCGCACCCTGAAAACCCATCTCTTCAGGGAAGCCTACCCCACCCCCTGCTAACTTGCAGACCTCCTCCACTCTTCCTACCACCCCATCCCCCACAGCTATATCCTCCTGTGCCACCATCCCCTCCCTCCTAGATTGTAAGCTCGAAAGAGCAGGGCCCTCAATCCCCTCATGTTTTGCATTGTATTGGTATTGTTCTGTCACATGTTCTGTCCCCCTTTGTAATGTACAGCGCTGAGCGAACTAATTGGCGCTTTATAAATACTGTATAATAATAATAATAATAATTCTCCTCTGTAAATATAGAGTGGTAAACTGTAAAGGCTTTTAAAGTGTTGCCTATGGATAGTAAAAATGTATGCCGTTTGCTACATGTTTGGTATCTATTTTCTTGGCATAACATTATCTTTTATATTTTTTAAAAAATCTGGTTATGTATTGTGTTTTTTTGCATTACAATTCAAAAAAATATATTTTTTCCCCAAAAAATTGTGTTTGATCAAACCACTGTGTAAATATCATGTGACATAAAAAAAAAATGGCAAAACCCACCAATTTACGGTATTCTCTAGGGCCTCTGCTTTAAAAAAATATATAATATTTGAGGGGTCTAAGTAATAGTCTAGCAAAAAAATTAAATGATTGTTACACTGAAGTAAAAAGTGCCAGGAAAAGCCTGGTCCTTAAAGTGTTAATAACCCCACAACAGTAAAATCAGTCTGTATTATCAGTAACCCTAGGTTCACTAATTCTAATGGCACACCGCCCACACTGGAAAATGCAACCGTACTGGGAACCGAGGTTCCCGTGTGTGGCCTGCGGTTTCCAAAGATTTGTGCAGGGACTTCTTTCCCCTGCGTGTCCCGGGGCACAGGAGACCATTCAAATGAATGGGCTCGTGCAAAAAACGCTTCCCGCACGGGCCGCATAAATGTGAACTGGGGGGTAAAGCATGCTTATTATACTCACTGTGGAACCTAAGGGGTTAATCCTCTGCATTGTGTAAAAAGGATGTTTGCAAGAACAGATCATGTCAGTCTTCCAAAACAATCTGTAGATATTGCTAAACTGCCAGAAATCAACGGAAACCAACAGAATTTTTTTTTGTGATCTTTAAGCATAATTGAGAATTAAAAAAGAAATAAATCCACCTGCGCTCTTATGTAAATGGATAGAAATAAATATCGATACTAAAAAGCAGCTAACATCCAATCCTATACCATAAGGTCTAAATCACATATATATATACAGTTGCAAGAAAAAGTATGTGAACCCCTTGGGATTACGTGGAGTTTTGCATGAATTGGGCATAAAATGTGCTCTGAACGTCATCTAAGTCACAAGAATAGAAGAACACAGTCTGCTGAACATAATACTACACAAACATTAGATGTTGCCATGGTTTAATTGCACATAACATGTAAACATTCACAGTGCAGGGAGGAAAAAGTATGTGAACCTTTGGACTTAATAACTGGTTGACCCTCCTTTGGCAGCAATAACCTCAACCAAACGTTTCCTGTAGTTGCAGATCAGACCTGCACAACGATCTTGAGTAATTTTGGACCACTCCTCTTCACAAAACTGTTTCATTGTAGCAATATTCTTGGGATGTCTGGTGTGAATCGCTCTCTTAAGGTCATGCCACAGCATTTCAATCGGGTTGAGGTCAGGACTCTGACTGGGCCACTCCAGAAGGCGTATTCTGTGCTGTTTGCAGCCATTGTTTTGTTGAATTACTTGTATGCTTTGGGTCATTGTCCTGTTGCATCACCCATCCTCTGCGGAGCTTTCAGTTGGCAGACAGATGGTCGTACGTTTTCCTGCAAAATGTCTAGATAAACTCTGGAATTCATTTTCCCATCAATGACAACAATCTGTCCAGGCCCTGAGGCAGCAAAGCAGCCCCAAACCATGATGCTCCCTCCGCCCCATGTTTTACAGTGGGGATGAGGTTTTGATGTTGGTGTGCTGTGCCTTTTTTTCTCCACACATAGTGTTGTGTGTTCTTCCCAAACAACTCAATCTTGGTTTCATCTGTCCACAGTATATTTTGCCAGTAGTGCTGGGGGAACATCCAGGTGCTCTTTTGCAAACTTCAAACATGCTGCAATATTCTTTTGGACAGCAATGGCTTCCTCCGTGGTGTCCTCCCATGTACTCCATTCTTGTTTAATGTTTTCCTTATTGTAGATGTCTCAACAAAAATGTTAGCATGTTGCCAGAGATTTCTGTAGGTCTTTAGCTGACACTCTGGGATTCTTCTTTACCTCATGCAGCATTCTGCGCTGTGCTCTTGCAGTCATTTTTACAGGACGACCACGCCTAGGGAGAGTAGCAACAGTGCTAAACTTTCTCCATTTGTAGACAGTCTGTCTTACCGTGGACGCATGAATTTCAAGGCTTTTGGAGATACTTTTGTAACCCTTTCCAGCTTCTTGCAAGTCAACAATTCTTGATCGTAGGTCTTCTGAGAGCTCTTTTCTGCGAGGCATGGTTCACATCAGACAGTGCTTCTTGAAACCAGTAAACCCAAAACAGGTGTGTGTTTTTTAAGGGCAGGACAGCTGTCAGCAACACATCCAATATCATCACACTGATTGGAGTCAAGGTTGGCTCACTCCTGGCTCCAATTAGCTCTGGAAGAAGTCATTAAGCTAGGGCCTCACATACTTTTTCCTCCTGCACTGTGAATGTTTACATGTTATGTGCAATTAAACCATGGCAACATCTAATGTTTGTGTAGTATAATGTTCAGCAGACTGTGTTTTTCTATTGTTGTGACTTAGATGACGTTCAGAGCACATTTTATGCCCAATTCATGCAAAACTCCACGTAATCCCAAGGGGTTCACATACTTTTTCTTGCAACTGTATAATAATGATCCAGCGCTAATATACAATTTCAATTTCAACAAACATGTATGATAATATATATAATAGACAGATCAGATCCTGATGAAGTCACGAGGTCACGTGACGCAACGCGTCGACGGCACTAACGTGTGACGCACTTCCGGCGTGGCGCCATCTTTGTATACCCAACAAGCGCTTTTTCTTCATGCAGTACACCTGGCATATTGTATTCCACCTGGTTACAAGCTGTATACTGTTCTCATTGGATTCTACCTTGATATGTACTGGACTCTCCTCCATGCAAGCTATACACGTGAGTGCACCTTTGGCTTATTTATATGCCATTAAACAGTATTACACTTTGGAGATTTTGTTCTTTTTCTGTTATATGGGCATATGATTTATGGTACCTAGGAGAGTGCTAAGCTGCCTGCAACCCGGTCCAGTGGAATGGTGAATAATTATTACCTGTTGTCATCATCCTAAAGAGTGGCTACTCTGAGCATCTAGAGGAGTTTCTTTGCTTTGTGGCCCTGCAGGGTCATGAAGTGGAGGTGAGAGGTCATTCTAGCCATTCCGTTGGGGATCACACTGAGGGTGTTTTTTTGACATCCACATCATGCATGAACAGGAAGATTACTACACTCATTTATGGACTTTTAAGTCACTTTATGTGTGATGTGTGTCTCACATAGTGTGCTGTTCTGATCCCTAGTAGGGATTCACATCATTTTTTTGCTATTATTGTGTCCCATCAGGGACTTGGGGGTTACATTTAATACATCCACATTTGGATTGGGGTCACTCTTGCTGTGTGATCACTTTTATGTCTAATTTCTAGACTATATTATATTTTTTTTTTTTATATCTGATCTGTCTATTATATATTATCATACATGTTTGTTGAAATTTAAATTGTATATTAGCGCTGCATCATTATTATATATATATACATAATTGAGAATTAGTTCTTCACAGTAGAAGCATCTAGATAGGTGAGTGAGGGCTTCTTTTAAAGTGTTACTAAACCCACAACAGTACAATCAGTTTGTATATGCAGTAAAGCATACTTGTTATACTCACTGTGAAACCTAAAGAGTCTGCATTGTGTAAAAATTATGTTTGATCCTGTCTTCTCTGATCATCCCTTTCTTCCACAGTCCCCAATCCATCTGCTGATAGAACAGAGCCTTGGGTGCTGTCAGGGCAGGGGCCGAGGAACGGACAGGCAGGCCTAACAATGTAACGCACTGGCTGACGACAACCACTACCCACAGACCGAAGTCCCTCCGGGCGCGGAGTCTAAGTCCCAGGCTGCCCTTCACCAGGGCCCCTGATGGTGGGGATGGACTTGACGCAGCCAGGAACCAGGTCGCGCCCCCGAGACACCTCAGCTGCGGCAATGGCCGCCGCCAAAGGCGTGTAGCTGGTGGAAGAGACAAAAGAGTAGTCAGACAAGCCGGGTCAACAACAACAGGACAAGACAGTACAGGACAGCAGACGAGAATCACAGGTCACGAGCCGGGTTCAGCAACAGAGGGTCAGATCAAGGGAGAATACAAAGAATAGTCAAGTCACAAGCCGAATCAGATACCAGGAGAGTCACGAGAGTCAGAACAGAGTAATAGCGACACAAAGACACAAGACACAAGTGCAAAGAGCATGTGCGGGCCACAGGCTTATATGTCATCAGCCACACCCTTCTGGGGGATGGACCACAGAGACCTGAAGGCATAAAAGGATTCCCATCATGCACAGCAGAATCCAAGATGGACGCCAGCACATGGAGTAACATAACCTCAGGGAAAAGGTAGGACCTTGACAGGTGCAAGCTGCACATGCTCAGTTTGGTGTGTATAGCTAGGGAGTTTTCTTTTCTTTGGAAAGTGCATGTGATCAGCACAGGGCCAATCAGCACTGTCTAGAGGGTCAGGGGTCCTGCAGTCTCATAGGACAGTCAGAGGAGAATGAAAACTCCTCCTACAAGCTTTAACATGTGCTCTGCTGGACTCTGATAGAAGTCACAAGACTGCTCTAACTGCTGATGAGAAAAGGTATTTAGCAGTCTATATTTACTAAAATAATTACACTTCCATGTTGTGTGTATACTGTGGGAGACCAGATATAGAGAATGCAGGGTCCTGGGAGACCAGATAGAGTGAATGCAGGGTCCTGGGAGACCAGATAGAGTGAATGCAGGGTCCTGGGAGACCAGATATAGAGTGAATGCAGGGTTCGGGGAGACCAGATATAGTGAATGCAGGGTTTGGGGAGATCAGATATAGTGAATGCAGGACCCGAGGAGACCAGATATAGTGAATGCAGGGTCCTGGGAGACCAGATATAGTGAATGCAGGGTCCAGGGAGACCAGATAAAGTGAATGCAGGGTCCGGGGAGACCAGATAAAGTGAATGCAGGGTCCGGGGAGACCAGATATAGAGAATGCAGGGTCCGGGGAGACCAGATATAGAGAATGCAGGGTCCGAGGAGACCAGATATAGTGAATGCAGGGTCCGGGGAGACCAGATATAGTGAATGCAGGGTCCGGGGAGACCAGATAAAGTGAATGCAGGATCCGGGGAGACCAGATATAGAGAATGCAGGGTCTGGGAGAGACCAGATATAGTGAATGCAGGGTCCGGGGAGACCAGATATAGTGAATGCAGGGTCCGGGGAGACCAGATATAGTGAATGCAGGGTCCGGGGAGACCGGATATAGTAAATGCAGGGTCCGGGAGACCAGATATAGAGAATGCAGGGTCCTGGGTTCAGAAACACTTTAAGTGGTTACATAGTTGATGGTAGATCTTGGGGCGGCCATACTCGACCATACTCAATCTGATTGTACAATCCCCTTTAGATCTACCATCAACTATGTAATATGAGGTCAAACCTAAACAATCTATTCAGTTAGCATTAAACTCAGACATGCCCTTAGTCCTCTCTCAGACGGGGCGGACCCATCACCGGATCCATTTGCTAAGCAGGGGATCTCTCCGCAGAGCAAGCGGATGACATATCTGTGTCCTCTCCCCTGCTGCAGAGCGGACACAGACACAGCCCGCTGTCCTCTATGGGCGGGTCAGATGGAAATGGACTGCCTGTCTATCTCCACCCGACTGCCATTCCATCCAATCTGCCAGACTGATGGGGAACCCGAACCGTCTGTTTTTAGCACACAGAATCGGATGACATGTCCGCTGACACCCGCCGGTCCATAGAGAGCTATGGATAGCTCGACTGATTGTCAGATTTTCAGACGCACCTGATTGGACCGTCAGTGTGAAAGGAGCCTTACATTACATAATATGTAAAGGAGATTGTACAATCAGATTGTATAGTGTATGGTCACCTTTAGTGTTACCAAAACTATGTAATATGAGGACAGACCTGCACAATCTGTTTCATTTAATATCAAGTCAAGGAGGCTCTTTGTTCTACATAGATGATGGCAGAATTAAAGTAGATTGTATAACCAGATTGTATGGTGACCTTAAAGCTGGCTATTATTATTATTATTATTATTATACAGTAATTTATAAAGCGCCAATAGTTCGCTCAGCGCTGTACATTACAAAGGGAGACAGAACAATACCAATACAAAGCAAAACATGAGGGGATCGAGGGCCCTGCTCTTTCAGAGCTTACAATCTAGGAGGAGGGGGTGGCTGGCACAGGAAGGAGATAGCTGTGGGGATGAGTGTTAGGAAGAGTGGAGGAGTGGAGCAAGTTAGCAGGGGGGGGGGGGTAGCTTCCCTGAAGAGATGGGTTTTCAGGGTGCGCCTAAAGGAGAGTAGAGATAGGTGATAATCTGATGGGTTTGGGGCAGGGAGTTCCAGAGGATGGGTGACACCCTGGAGAAGTCCTGGAGGCGGCATGGGAGGAGGAGACCAGGAAACTAGAGAGAAGGAGGTCTTGTGAGGAGCGGAGTGAGTGTGCGTGCTGGGCGGTACTTGGATATTAGAGTTCAGTGATGAAGTTCGGGGCAGTATGGTGGACAGCTTTGTACGTCAGCGTTAGGATTTTGAATTTGATCCGGTTTTGCGCAAATCGAAGCCATGGAGGGATTGGCAGAGGGGGGTGGCGGAGACAGAGCGGTTGGAAAGGTGAATGAGTTCTGGCAGCCGTGTTCAGGATGGACTGAAGAGGGGATAGCCAGCGGCGAGGCAGGCCAGTGAGGAGGGAGTTGCAGTAGTCGAGTCCGTGATATGATGAGGGAGTGGATGAGCTGTTTAGTGGTTTTTCTGGGGTTAGGAACGTGCGGATTTTGGCGATGTTGCGGAGGTGGAGTCTGCACGAGTTTGTTAAAGATTGGACTTGGGGCTGGAAGGATCGGTGGAGTCCAGAATGACACCCCAGTATCTGACTGGCCTGCAGGGCGGGTTTGATGGTAGCGTATGTTGGATGTGACGAGAAATGCAATGGGGGGTGGTGTCGCCGGGCTGGGGGAAGACAGAGACAGACTCGGTTTTGGGAGAGGTTCAATTTAGAAGGAAGTGGAGCGACATCCAGTTCTGGATAATTCGCTCAGTAAGGTGTGATTCGGGCTGAGAGACAAGGGGGTGAGGTGGGGGGTTGAGAGATAGATTTGTGTGTCCGTCGCAGAGAGTTGGTAGTTGAAAGCCGAGAGAGTGTATGAGTTTGGCCAAGGGAGGAGGTAATAGATGGAGAAGAGAAGGGGCCCGAGACAAGGAGCCTTGAGGGACCCCCACAGGAGAGGGGAGTGAGTGAGGGTGGAGTGTGGTAGCATTATAGGTAGACGCTGAAAGAAGCGTTGTGACAGGTAAGGCATGAGATCCAGGTGAGAGCCCAGAATCTGCTGAGGGCCGAGGGAGTGTAGTTTTTTGAGGAGGAGGGTGGTCGACTGTGAAGGCCGCAGGCCGCAAAGAGGTCAATGAGTAGGGACCACTGAATATGTCCATTAAGCTTTGCGGTTAGCAGGTCTTGGGGGAGTTTGGGAAGGCAGTTTTTGGGGGAGTGTAGGGGACGGGGAACCGGGCTGTAGGGGATCGAGGAGGTTGTTGTCGTTTTGGTGAAGCAAAGGGGGTGTAGACTAGGCCCGGGAAATTTTTG